CATCTTCATATCAGTTTTCTTAACTGCTTTTAATATAACTCTCTTGATCAGTCTGTCTGTTATAATCATGATGTTTGTGTATTTTTTAGAACTTGATAAGTTCACAATAAAGTTTATAAAAAGCTCCTGTTACATACATTCAGGAATGAGGAGAGGCTTAAGCAGTTTCTGATGTCAATCTCTTCATATAGTATTTGATCTGCAAAGATGACAGTTCCTGATCATTCTTCTCACATCAGTGACATAGCCTGGTCAGTAGAACTCATATCTTAGAACTTCTGCTGTTTGCTCTCACCCAGAATAACCAGTAAGAGATGAGTCATAAGCCTCATACACTAACCTGATTCAAAGAGATTTGAAGTTTAGTACTTAATTATGACTTTGAAAAAGAAGCTCTCTGTTCTCATTTAAAGAGCACTCAGAGATGGAGACTTTAATGCTGAGTTTAGAAGAAAATCTGAATCTTATCTTATGAAAAATTTGCTTCAGACACTGCAGAATCTTGTCATTTTTGTGAGCCTTATTTCATTAAGCTTGAAGAGACATCTCAGGTTTCACACTGGCAGTGATCACTATTGATTTCATTTCAGGTGCCAGTACATTAAACTTAAGTAGTTGAGCTTGCCTCTGCTTGATTTTCTCATCATCAGCACTCTGTGACATGTCCTGCTCTCTTTGTGATAGGATATCTGGTCCAGTGTTCAATTTCCCTAGCTGGTAATCAATTCTGAAGTTGAATTGATAGAGAATATCCATTCAATGTAGCTGTCTTTCATTTAGTCTGCATATAGTCATGAAGTATTCTAGATTCTTATGATCTGTGAGAATCTTGAATTCCTTTACACTTTGTAGCTCAGCATTTTATTTCTTTAAACACTCAATTATTGCTAATAACTCCTTATCATGAATCTCATAGTTGTATTCCACAGGTGAATACTTGTAAGAGAAGAAGGCACATGAGTGTAGAATGCTCTGCTCATCATATTGTAGCAGCACTTCTTCTGAGACATAATCTGAGAAATCCATTTCCAATATAGTCTCATGATCAGGGTCAAATTGAAGCAGGATTGGAACAGAGATAAACATTGATTTTAGATGCTTAAAAGTTTTTTCAGCCTTGCTCATTTACAAAAAATGAACATTCTTGCATGTAAGAATCATCAGTGAGATTGTAATCTTTGAGAAATCTCTGATAAATTGTCTATAGAAATTGGCAAAGTCTAAAAATCCTTATACACCTTTAAGAGTAGTAGGTATCACTCATTTCAAAACAGCTTTAATCTTCTCTGAATCCATTTGTATACCCTTGCTTACTTCAATGATGAATTTAAGATATTTTGTACTGTTCATCTCAAACTCACTCTTTCTGATGTCTGCCTGCAGGCCTGCTTCTCATAGACAAATAAGCATCTTTTGTACATGCTCACAATACTCCCATAAGCTTTTTGAGGAAAATATCAAGATGTCATTTAAATAGACTGAGTAGAAGTCGTCCAGATATCCACATAATGCTCAGTTGATATATTTTTGAAATGTGCTCAGAGCATTGGCTAAATTAAAGAGTGTAATCAGCTACTCAAATAGTCTATATTTGATTTTAAAGGTTGTCATCCACTCATCACCTTCTGTGATTTGAATCTTGTGAAAAGCTGCAATAATGTCTAGCTTAGTGAATCATTTAGCCTGTTCAATTTGCTGTAGAGTTTCACTGATTAATGATAGAGAATATCAATCCTTTCAGGTGATTTTGTTAAGAGCTCAATAGTTCACACAGAATCTTAGTCCATCTTCAGACTTCTTTGTAAATAGTATGAGAGTGACTGCAGAGAAGTTGCTCACTCTAATAAAACTCTTCTCCAGATAATCTGTAAGAGTCTTTTACAAAGCCAGTAGTTCCTCTTGAGACATATTATATAATAGATCTCAAGGGGGTTGTTCTGTGCTACTATTAGCCTTTTTAATCAGTTCAATCTCATGATCTCTATCTGAGTCATGAAGTAGAGGTAGAGTGTCAGTGGCTTCCTTATCAAATACATTTAAAAACTCATGATAATGTTCAGGCAGCTTTTCTCTAAAGTCAATCTTTAATTTCACTTCTAGAGTCTTTTGAATATCAGCCAAACTGACAGTGAAGATCTTGATGTTTCACTTCTCTTGAGTGCTCACAAGTTTAGAGAAGCTTACAGCAGAGATGAGAATCACATCAGCTTTTGCATTTGAACTAGATTCTATCTCTATACCACTCTCTTCAAATCTCACAATTCTTTGATAAGGGATCACAGTCGCCTTTTGCTGGGCCAGCTAGGGGTTGCCTAGATACATATCATGATCATATATCTCATTCACCACATAGAGAAAGGCTCATTTAGTTATATGATCATCTATATCAATTTTAAATGCCAGTCACTATGCTTGTGGAGAGTCTCATAGAGTCTTCAAAGCCAGTCATTTTAACAGAGGAAATTTCAATGCACAGAAGCTTATGCTTGTTAACATAGAATTGAGAAATAAGATCATAGACATTACATTCACTGTCTATCATTGCTCTAGTTGAAAAGGCATTATCTACTAGAGCATCAACAGTGAAGGGTTTGAATATCATCTTAGATTTAAATCTTTTTCATTGCTTTCTCATAAGCTTCTTATTTTGCTCCTTTCAGTGTCTTTTGATTGAAGCTACTCTTTTCTCAAATCCTCATTCATATTCACATTGTCATTGTTCAGTACCAGCTCAGAGATCATCTTAGCTATCATGAGGATGGCAGAGTGTCTGAGAGATTTGAATGAGCAGCTCTTAATCATATGATCTTCAACTTCATATCTCAGGCACAGGCCTTGCTCTCTTTGTTGATTAATCTCTGTCTGATTTATCAATTTGATGTGGTGAGTGCTTGAGGTCACAGCATCAGAAGAGAGATTTATCAGATCATCAGTGAAAGCTTGAGACCAGTTTCATTGATCAAAAACAGCATGATGAAGTAGAAAGTGTGAATTAGATGTCATATGATCTGAAGAAGATCTGCTCTCATGATGTTTAGATCACTGTCTTAAAGTCTTAAGCTCAGAGAATTGATGATGAACTAATCTAAGCTCCCTGCAGTAATTCTCATAGAGAGATGATTCTCTTACACCCATCATGCCTTCCTTCAGCTTCATGCTTAGAGCAGATTTCAAATACTTCTTTTTAACATGATCATCTCATCTGTGATCATCAGCTTCCAGCAGTAGCTGATTAAATTCAGACAGAAAATCAAAAAGAGCTCTTCTACTCTGTCATAGATTGTTGAGCTTTTGCATAGCCTTTTTCTGTCATGCAGAATCACTAAAGAGCATGCATGTCTACTTCAGTAAGCTCTCTACTATGAAGTTGATCTTGTTCTTATTATTCTCAACTCAGGGGTAAACTTGAGCTGCTGCCATTTCTTCCAGTTTTGAGTACACATACCAAGCACATTTCTCATTATTACCTAAAGCTTTCTTATTAATCTTAAGTTTTGATTGAAGCTTTAGCTTTCACTGAGGGTAGTGCTTCAGATTAGAATCATCATACTTTTTGCAGTTCAATAGCTTGGTCTTTGATCTTCTGACTGCAATGAGTGATTGCAGGTTCAATTGAGAGAGAGTTGATGTTGAAGTGTTCAAAGCTTGTCATAGATTAGCTATTTCAGCTTGCTGAGCTGCTATTAAATTTCTGTTCTCATACTGAACCTGTTTCTGCTGTTGAAGAAAGGCCATCCATTGTTGTTCAAAGCTGCTGAGAATGTCCCTGCTCATTGCTTTGTATTAATCTATTTGTTGTATAAGTCTGCTGCTTTATCTCATTCAGCTAGATGTTTTCAATGTTGCTTATTCATTTGTTAGCATGATTGCTAACTCAGTCTATTCATATATCAGTGCTATCATTGAACTTCATGATGCAGAATTTAAGGCTTTTAATAGTCTATCATATGTCAGCATGTTTACTGAGCTTTGTGATATAGAATTAAGACTCTCAGTGACCTATCAATGAAAGAAGTGAAGCAATTCATAATGTAAAGAATTAAGCTCTAAGAACTAGAGACTAGTCCTCCTATATAACAAGGACAAATTGCTTGAGAAAGAGAAGAAAAGAATGAGATAAGAACTCAAGCTTAAGCAAGCTCACATAGCACAATCACATGCGTATGTGTGAATGATGGCTAGGCTGAGTCAGCCAGTCAGAGCAAATCTAGAGGTTCAACCTCTTATAAAATCTCAACTTTTTTGAATCTCTAAGACTTCTTACAATGTGACTCAATTGAAGCTACAGAACAACATGATTAAATATCATATAAAGATTTTTTCTAGTTCTATGAATCAAACTCTTGATTAACTAGTGAAGAAATGTCAGCTGGTCATATATATATTATGCTGTTATATTAGCAAAGAAAAACATAGAGCTGAGAGCTGCAAATGCCAGGCAGAAGTGAAAGAGAGAGAAATCATGTTTTTATATAGCTAAGAAAGGAGTTCTAATAGGTTAAACTGCATTAGCTAGTACTGCTAGACTTCAAAAGCCTAATTAATATATAGAGAAAGTGATTGAGGATTTGAACCCAGGGACTAGAAAGTGAAGGCCCTCAACCTGCAGCAAGTGTAATACACCTGGACATAATATTAGACAGTGTCAACAGATCTAAGTGTCTATCCTATATAATTTCTATATATGATTCCTTGTGTTGCTTAATTTGAAATTTTGTCAAATAGAAGGATGATCTGGTAGGTGATATGATCCGGTAGGTGATTGATTACGTTAGTTAACAGACATTGCATGGTTGAGTAAGCACTATAAACTGCAGGTCACCGCTTTGGTGGAGGATTGTTGTGTTGTGTCACCAGCCCCGGACAAACTGTACTTTCATCCTTTCATAATTCCAACTACAATTACGACCTGCGCCGCGTAAGAAGCTGGAAGATCTGCGATAGAGAAAGTTCCTTAAATCCAATACCAATTGCGCCAGGAACTTTAACATACAGTCCGGATGCCAGATTTCAAAATCTCGTCCGCTTTAGAGGGCCACACCGATGATGTAAATGTTCACCCAGGAAATGGAATATAGTTACCAATTCCATTGAATCACCCCAATGCTTACGAAGAAGATTTTCAGAGACTAATACAAGAGTTTGTGTGTACAGGTTCGCGCTGTGGCCTTTCCGAACTCCAGAGCTGTATTGTCTGCTTCCCGAGATGCGACCGTTCGTATTTGGAAGCTCACCTCTACTACTTCGTCTCCGGTCAATGACTATACATTATCCTCCCACGGCTCCGCTTTCATAAACTCCCTGGCTTATTATCCTCCGTCCTCAGATTACCCTGAAGGCCTGATATTTTCTGGTGGCCAAGATACCATTATCGAGGCCCGCCAGCCTGGGAAACCGGCCGATGCAAATGCAGATGCTATGCTTCTTGGTCACACACACAACGTATGCTCGATAGATGTCTGTCCTGAAGGCCAGTGGGTGGTGAGTGGAAGCTGGGACGCCTCAGCAAAGCTCTGGCGAATTGGGAAGTGGGAATGCGAAGTCACCCTCCAAGGCCACCAAGGTAGCGTCTGGGCAGTGTTGATTTACGACAAATCTACAATAGTAACAGGTAAGGGATTCCAGGAGAGTTGTGATTTTGAAGTATTTGGTGGATAAACGCTGACTATCCCTCAGGATGTGCTGACCAAATGATCCGCATTTATAACCTAACTGGAAAACTATTGCGAAGCTTTAAAGCTGGTGATGTCGTCCGTGCTCTCTGCAAACTTCCTCCAAACCATCCGTCAGGTGGGCAGATAGCGTCTGCGAGCAATGATGGCGTAATACGATTGTGGACGCTTGAAGGTCGACAAGTTTCGGAACTCTGTGGTCATGAAAGTTTCATCTATTCATTAGCCACCCTACCTACGGGAGAAATAGTTAGCTCCGGTGAGGATCGAACCGTGAGAATATGGAGTGGTGATCGCTGCATACAAACCATTACGCATCCCGCGATATCTGTCTGGAGCGTTGCAGCATGTCAGGAAAATGGTGATATTGTTAGCGGGGCAAGTGATGGGATAGCTCGAATTTTCAGCAGAGTTCAGGAGCGCCAGGCTGATGAAGCAGTTACTGCGAAATTTGAAAATTCCGTCAGGGAATCGTCTATCCCGCAGCAACAGGTTGGATCCATCAACAAAGAGAAACTTCCTGGTCCAGATTTCTTGAAGCAGAGACTTGGGACAAAGGAAGGTCAAGTTCAAATGATTCGTCAAGAGGATGGAAGTGTTACTGCCCATTCTTGGTCAACTGCCACGAGCGAATGGATATCCGTTGGTACTGTGGTCGATTCGGCGGCAAGCAGCGGTAAAAAGGTGGAACATCTTGGGCAAGACTATGATTATGTTTTCGATGTCGACATTGAAGATGGGAAACCCCCCTTGAAACTTCCGTATAACCTGTCTCAAAATCCATACGAAGCTGCTACTAAATTTATACAAGACAATGAGCTACCGATGGGGTATCTGGACCAAGTTGCTAATTTCATAACCACAAATACACAGGGGGCTTTCAAAGGTCCTCCCCCTCCTGGCGCTGATCCATGGGGCGAAGAAAAGAGATATCGACCAGGGGATGGACCTTCCAATAACTCCTCATCTTTTCCAACATCTCGTCCAAAGGTTCTACCCCAAACTTCATACCTATCTATCAAAACCGCAAACATCAAGACAATAAAAAAAAAAGTCCAAGAACTGAACTCCAAACTTGTCAGTGCTGGATCAAAGGACATTTCGCTAAGCCCATCTGAACTAGACACCGTCATGGCTCTTTGTGATGAGTTAGATCAGACATCGCCGTTAAAAGAATCACCGCAGGTCGAATTTGGACTTCCACTAGTTGCCAAAATAGCAACCGCATGGCCCGCTGCTAATCGTCTTCCCGGTCTTGATCTGCTTCGTCTACTCGCTGCTGCAACCCCCGTAACAGCATCCACGAACTATGGTAGTGATAACTTGATTTCCACACTCATAAAAAGTGGTGTATTCGAATCCCCGCTGAACCTGAATAATGCCATGTTAACAGTGCGGACTTTTGCAAATTTATTCAACACTGAGTCTGGGCGGAATCTGGCAATTAGCAACCTCAGCGACATCATGGTGCAGGTTGCATCTGTAGCGGCGAGTGGTGGGGGGACGCCAAATCGCAACTTAACCATCGCCATTGCTACCCTATTCATTAACTTTTCCGTCTTTATAACAGTCGACGGAAGAGCTTCAAGTCCCGAATCCTCAGAAAAGGCTCTCTCGCTGCTCGATGAATTGACTAAACTTCTGTGGAGGGAGAAGGATTCTGAAGCTATATACCGCACTCTTGTTGCGATAGGTACTTTGGTTACCGGCCTGGGCGAAGAAGTGAGAACTGCCGCGAGGGATATATACGATATAAATAAGTTGCTATCGAAAGTATCCAGTGCGGGGATTGGAAGGGAACCGAGAGTTAACAGCGTTATTGATGAGATTAGAAGTGCGCTTGGATAAACGAAAAAAGCATAAATGCAGTTTCCTTTTCAGATCTCATCGTCATATTAGACAAGCGTGCATTGCATCTTTCTGTGTTTTGTTTTATGAGGAACACTGCCATAAGACTGATGTTCCTGTTGCTAGAAACGGTTACTAAAAGAGATACGATGTCTTTCCAACTTTACTTCAATTAATATGCAACCTCTCTGGTGTATGCTCTACATGTCTGTTCCCTATCCGACTTTAAAGATGTGATAGTAACACTGCTGCCCAAGAAAGACTAGAAGCCCAAGCCTCTTCACAACCTTCCAGTCCCGTTTACATCCATCTCCACAATCTGATCTATCCCAGGATACTCCGGAATATCCAAACCGTATTTCTCCACAATACCCTTTGTCAAAAACCTCCCGCCCAAAAAATGTCTCCCAGTAAACCATTTAACCAACGGCTTCGCAGCTGTCAAGCTGATCAGCGTCTGCGGCATAAATTTTGCACCAGGACCTTCCTTTGGCGGGCCAGTCTCTATATCCCATGAACTAGGGGCGTCTACACTCAGCACGGGTATTTTGGTTTCCTCTAGAAGGGATATTACTCTAGGAAATGGATCGCGAAGAGGCCCGGAGAAAGAGAAACCGAAGATTGCGTCGATTACGAAATCGCTGGTTTGAAGGGTTCCTGGGAAGTCGGCTGTAAAGGGGACGGAGAGGTTGTGGAGTTGGGTTTTTAGGCGCTGTTTGTCTATCCTGTTAGATATCTGGGGTGGATAATAAGATAGATCGTTTTATCGTGTGTTGTGTCTCTTGAACTCTAGGGACAGAAGTCACAAGTAATACAAACCTCATATAACTCGTTTTTCCCTTGTTTCGGGTAGTATATTGTTGGTTTATACCCGTAGTGAGCAAGATGACGAGCGGCAACGAGCCCGTCACCACCTGCACGAGTTACCTTGCTTGTTAGTTTAACAGTGCCGGTAGGAGAATGAAGGAACTACTCGCAACAAGCTGAATCCACATCCGTACCGTTATTTCCAGGACCGCATGCTATGAGAACATTTCGTCCTTTAGACGGGGAATGAACTCGATAAACTTTGCCAAACAACACAGGCAGTTAGCCCCCCCAAACGCACGATTAAAAAGAGAGTGGTGGCAGCTGGGTATAGAATAATACCAGCTTGCGAAACAGAAAGTCCCGCAAGTTCCATTAGCTGGTCGAGAGAGAATCCCCCTTCTTCCATGAGGTCCTTGTCAAGAGAGGCTGTATCTTTAGCGCTGATGGTCTGATTGACTATATTAGATTAATTTCTCCGCAAATTGGAATGGAAAGAACAGAGACGAACTTTGAGCGCCATTGTTGTAAGCTTCCGATATTGGCGAAGATGGGTCAATAAGGCATTTGCTTGTCGCTTGACGCCGTACATGTATATATGAAACAGTACCCCGGCTTGTGCAGAAAGAGTTAGTTAACAGCAATATTGTTGCAGGATTAAATAGAATCCTAGAATAAAGCCAATTGCGCATATTTTGCTTGCAATGGGAATGAATGTTTGCATCCATTCCCGTAATGTGGAGTGTATTTTCTGATGACGTCATTGGCGCAACATTCTTGCTTGACTGTAATTAGTTAAGGTAAGCGAGCATGCAACTATGTCCGCCTGTATTGGCACACATTTATTAAAGTGTGTTGCGGGTGCATACTTTACAAGTAAACTCATTTGAATTCTTCACTTGTTGAACAGATTGAGCACTAGCTAATCCTTTCTCTGCTCTCAGGATATATCCTTCTGAGCTATATAAGCCTGTTCTCATTTGCAGCTTATAGGGTTTTGTTTTCTTGTGTCAAAATAGCAGCACTATGCATAGCTTGCCAAACACCTTTTAATGAGACTTACTCAAAGAGTCAAACCACTCAATGAATCACTTATCTGAAATCACTGCCTCTTTCAAGAATTCAAATATCTTGACAATGAGTCTAGTAGAATTAATTACATTAAAATATATTAATAAAAGCATTATAAATTATATATAAAATAATATTTTAATAGAATAAATAACTAAATAATTTGATAATATAATCATGAAAAAAAATTCAATATAAAGAAAAAAAATTACTAAAAAAATACAAAAATAATTGAAACTGATGTTATTTTTTAGATAGAAAAATTGAATAAAAATTAGTAAAATGAAATCATATATATAAATTTGCTTTTGTTAATACTTTAAAGTAGATATATTTAAACTAATTACTTTCTATTTTATAGTATAAAAATAAATATATTTTTTTTTCTATTTAAAACTATATTTTTTTAGTATTATGAATAGCTTTCTAAGTTTAATATTATTATTATATATTAATTTTTTCTACCTTTTAAATTTTTTGAATAATAATTTAAATGTTTTATTATTAAAGTTATTATATTTTTTTAACTGTATAAGTTTTTTTAAAATTCTATTGAAGTTTTTTCTTTACTTACTAAAAAGTTTTATTTTTTTCTTGATCAGTAGTTTAAAGCTACTTATAAACTCAATATATTTTGATCAAAAAGTAAAATTATATCTTATTAAATTATTTAAAATTAAATAAATATAAATTTTTATTAAACTTTTAGTACTATGATGTTAAAACTCTTTATACTAATTTCTTACTCTCACACTGCTTATTAAAGCACTTACTTTCACACTGCTTATCAAAGCACTTTAGAATTAATATTTTTTAAAATTAGCATCATTTCAAAATTTAGTACTCAGAATCAGTATAGATCAGCACTTCTCAAAAATTAGTTCTTTAGAATCAGTACTTTCTGAAGAATAAAATCAGCACTTTATAAAGAATCAGATTACTGTATTATTAATTCCTTATTTTATGAAAAATTAAAAATAAAATATATTACTACTCATTTATGTATATAAATACTCTGAATTCTCAAAGTTTCTTTAAAAGATTCAGTGATTAGCTACTATTCAATTTTATATATACATTTTATTTATTACTATTTTCTTTTCTTTGTAGTATATACTATATCTATATATCTACTCTATTATGATTCTAGTTATAGAACTTCTTATACTTTCTTTTGACACTTAATTCACTCATTTTAAGTGTTCTCACAATAACTACTTTTGTGAGTGATCTGCTCATCTATTATAAATCTCTAAAAGTATATAAAAAGTATGTTAAAAAAGTTCTATTTAGACTTAGAGAGATAGAATTATAAATAAATATCTTAAAATATGAGTTTCATATTCAGTAAATCAAATATTTAGATTTTATTATTATAAATATAAGTATTAAAGTTGATTTAAAGAAGATTACTATATTTTCACAGTTAGCAGTACTTAGTACAATAAAAAAATTTCAATTATTTTCAAAATTTTATAACTTCTATTAATATTTTATTAAGAAATATAGTTAGATTATAAAATTTATATTTAAGCTCATCAAAAAAAATTATTTTTTTAAATAAAATAAAATCTATTAGAAGATCTTTAATCAGATAAATAGAGCTCTATCAGAAGCTTTAATACTTTATTATTATAACTCAAATTACAAGATTTATATGAATATTAATACTTCAGATGATGCTATAACTGATATTTTATCTCAACTGTATGAAAATAAATAATGACATTCTATTATCTTCTACTCTATTTTTATAAATAATGTGAAAAAAAACCATGAAATTTATAATATAAAAGTATTGTCAACTGTGAGAGCATTATCAGAATATTATACTAAATTGAAAAAGTTTCAGAGAGAAGAAAAGTTTAAAATTTTAATAGATTATTAAGTACTAAAATACTTTATAATTATTATAAATTTTAATATTTAACAAATATATTAAATTAAATTTTTCTTATAATTTTACTTTTTAATTCAATATTGATTTGAGTATTATAATACATTAACAGATATTTTAAATATATTGAAGATTTAGAAAGAAAAAAAATAATAGTTTTTAAATATAATTATTTTTCAAATCAAAGAGATTAAACTTATAAATTATCAAAAATTTATTGAAGTTATGACTTTAAACACTAATATATATTTTTTAAAAAAATTATAATAAAAAACAGATAAATAAAGTTACTGAACTTCTGATATGAGAAAGAATAACAGAGAGAACAGCTTTAAGAGCTGATGAATAAGCTTTTATATTTTAAAAAAAATTTAGTAATATCAATTGAGAAAGATTCACAGGGAGAACAGCTTTAAGAGTTGATGAATAAGCTTTTATATTTTAAAAAAAATTTAGTAATATCAATTGAGAAAGATTCTACTTTTTAAATATATCTTTTAAAGAAAATTTATAAGTAATTATTAATAATATAATCAGAGAAGAAAAAGCTATATTTACTAGTGAAGATGAGATACTATTTGTTGTGAACCAACAGGGCATCCCTCGGAATCATTGGATAAGGATGGCGGATGATAAAGGAACTAGGGTTTCGGACGGAACAACCCTAGGTTCCGGGATTAACCCCAGGGAAAGGTTACGTGATCGATAGATTGATATGTTCGGTAGGACACCGTCTATCAATCTATCGGATAGATTGATATAACGGGTAGCGGATCATCTATTGATCTATAGGATCTATCAGGAGGTCTCCTCATGTATATAAACACGCTCATTACCCTTAGGATCAAGAGGCCTATCTTCTTGATCACGATCAATTCACTTATACTATTCTACTTCCCGTTCGGAGCCCTCACCCTTTACTGTCTTTATCAGCGTCTACCTGATATTACACTACACTCTTACCTGTCATAGCTTTGACTCTCTACCCACAGGTGTCCGTCTCACCCAAGCCCTACGCACGCCTGCCCCAAGCCGTAGCTATCGTTGGTTATAAGGATCCTCTAATTGATGTCCTTACTACTCGTGATAGTGGCATTACCCCCTGTCCTAGTTATCAAGCTTACGGCACTCCCGTTCGGCTTAACCTTACCTTTCGGCCACAGGTGAAGCTTGCTAGTGATAGAGGCTCGGTAGCACTATTGAAATGACTGAATAAAAAATATTAATTAATATATAAATAATTATCTGATATGTTAATGAATAAAAATCTTCTGTGATAATATATTAGTGCTGCTGAAGCTGCTATTAATTTTTAATAAAATCTGATAGTATATTTTAATAATCTTTATGAATGACTTAATGTGTGATGTCAAGACTTTCTATATTAGAATCTTGTTCTCACATTATTTATTAAAATACTTCAGAATCAATATCTTTTAAAAAATTATGATCATCTTAAAATTTAATATTTTAGAATTAATATTTTTCAAAAATTAGCTCTTTAAAATCAGTATTTTTTCAAAAATAAAATCAGTACTTCATGAAAAATTAGATTACTACATTATTAAATTCTCATTTTATAAAAGATTTGGGATAAAATTTATTATTATAAATTTATATATATAAATACTCTGAATTCTCAAAGTTTCTTCAAAAAATTCAATAATTAGCTACTATTCAATTTTATACATATATTTCATTCATTGCTATTCTCTTCTCTTTATAGAACTTTCAGTGTTTATATTTTTACTCTCTTACAATTTTAATTATAAAGCTTTTTACACTTTTTTTTATATTTAATTTATTCATTTTAAATATTTTTATAAATATTATAAATATTATTTGATTATAATTAATTTTATATATTTACTATAAAGTATTTAATAAATAAAAATATTTTTTTTCTCTAAAACTAAGATTTCACTTCTTTGAAATTTTAGTATATGCTAACTATATAATTATAAATATAATGAAAAAAAGTAAAATAAAAAATATTATATATCTTACTGCAGCTCATTTATGAAATCTTATCTTTATCAATGCTTGAATTGCTAAAAGACATTCATTTTGAAAGAAACCTTAATGACTTTTCATTTTGACATTTTTAATTGCTTAAGTCAAAAAACGCGTAGATGTTTTGAGAAGTGGTTTGCTTGCCTGCGGCTCACGCTTATAGATTAAACGTTAGATAGTTATTTGAACCGCATGCTATATATCTCACGTTTCTGCATCCTCTACAGTGCTGTATACCCTAGTGCCTTGTGCTAGGTAGGAAGATGTCTCTCTTCGATATATTCACTTCGGGAATGTCAAAATGAGAAGATGGCGCATAGATCATAAATTCATTCCAAAGTTATATATCACGTGACTACATATTAGTCATGTAACCGCTTGCTTCCGCCGTCGAAATATTCAGAACCTCGACCAACAGTTTTGAGGATAGTCATCCATAGGCACTTAGTGCTGGATTGCGCTTCCAATTGATTACCGGAGTTTTTTATTTGCAGATTATTACACCTAACAATGGTTGTAAAGATTCGTCTATCCCGGTTCGGGAACCGCCACCAGCCTTTTTACAACATTGTTGTGGCACAAGCGAGGTAAGTCTACTCAGGAGCTTCAAGATATGCAAGCTTACAACTTCTCTTGATATTTCAATTTCACTCAATTATTACTCTCCATGAAGAGGAGGTGAAGACGGGAAATGATATGTCTCAAACTGGAATATTAAGCCACTTTGCTAACTGGCTTTTCCTTTCTTCCATATACAGGTCAGCCCGCGATTCTAAACCTCTCGAAGTCATTGGAACCTACTGCCCCATACCGAAGATGCCAACTGGCCTCTCCGATGAAGAAGCCAAAGTGGCTAAGCCTTTCAAAGATATAAACCTTGACAGGTCGCGGACGAAATACTGGCTAGGTGTTGGTGCGCAACCGAGTAAACCTGTCTGGAGGTTGCTAAGTTTGGTAGGTTTCTTCTTGCTTTTCAGTGGAGTTTGCTATTATCAGTGCTTTGCAGAATCATATCCTTATGCACCTTTCAAATGCCGTGCGTTAGGATGGGAAATATGCCGTAAATATGGCAAATTTGTCATTCTTGGAGTTCGGGATGACACTTTTCAATTACGGGTTAAAATCAAACTTCTAACTCGTTATTTCATATAGATCGGGCTTGTTGAGCCTAAACTCGGAAATGTGTGAAGAGGAAAGGCTTCAGTGACAGCTACACAATGAGACGAACTCCTCTATAATTTTCGCAGTACTTGAAACCATATAGCCGTCTCTTTGGGCTGCGGACACCATTTACTTGGTATGTTTTAAAAGCGCAATTTGGCATTCTTTTCGGCGTCAGGATTCTGATTTCCTTGGTTTCATACGGTAACCGCGTTTTTATTATCCTGCATATATGTATGAATAGATGAGCGTGTTTCAATCCCATTGTCAGATGGCCATTTGGACCTAGTAACATAATATCCGGGTTACAGATCTTTTATCCTACTTGTGAAATATATTTCAGCAACTGAAAGGAAATCATGGTTTGTTATTTAAATAGGGGTATTATCAAATATATAAGAAAATATATGTGCGAGTAGAAGTTTATCGCTTCATGTGGCTCAAAGGCAGATCTGTGAAGCATCTGGCAGCAAGGAAGGAGGGTAAATATAGTAAATACAAAGAAGAATTCAAAGGATGGCAAGTGTTAGGGTCTTGTAAAATGTCAATGACTCTGAACTGCCTAGGGGTCAAGAACATGATACACTCGAATAGCAAGGAAAGTGAAAACGCGGTGCGACAGGGATGTGAAGGCTAGGAAGTGACTGGGAAGGGTAGGGTGTGGTTGAAACTCCTCAAGAATTAGTCAGAAGTATCAAGCGTTTGTCGTTCCTCGGTGGGACCCATCTGAATGACCTTCAACACGCCAAACAAGAGTGACATCTCTAAATTAGATTCCTTGTATTATTTGCATTGTAGCCGGAGCTGTGTGCATGGTACGATCTCGCTGGTATGGACATGTCAGATTAAGGGGTGTGATATTTGAGATTGCTTCGTTGACCTATCAAGCCTGGTTTGGCGCACTAAAACCACGGGTATTGATAAGTTTTTTTTTGCAAAGATATGCTGACGAAAGAGGTACTTACGAATTGTAGGGGATATATGCATGTGGTTGACCCAGTGAAGTTATCCCAGGACTAGGCGGTGGCATACGATCCCCCATATTTCCATCCTTGAGCAATGGGGTTTCCATATGCGAAGCCATTGTATTCTCTAATTTTCCCATATTGACTGGATCAGTTGGCCTGGGAATGGGACCATCGATGGCAACTTTCTTAAATCCAACAGCCTTATTCCATATTTTCGCGGGGGCCTGAGGATCAACTTGGTTGGGATAAACAAAAGCGGCCATAATGCGACCCGCAGAGGTGTTGAAGATATGCTTTCGCATCCTGGATGGCCTTGCACGACCAAATAGGCACAAAAGACAAGTCGCCGATCCTATCATCAGAGTGAAAAGAATAGCAATGAAGGCCGGTATAGCGAATCTCAAATTGTACTTAATCTGGCTTTGGAAAACGTACACCGGAACTTCACGCAAATCTCCTTTTGCCGGCTGAAGGGAGGCATTGTCATCACTCGCTCGTTTCGCCAGAGTTTGACGTGAAATCCAGCCTTTGGTTCCCACGACAGCATTAGCAGTAACGTCAGTCCACACGAGGTTGATAATCTTTGCTGTTGTGCCTGCTTTCTCTGACCATCCCTGCCATTTTGAATACATGGCAATATTAGTTTCTCCAGAATAGTCACTCACCCCGCTTGGAGGTGATGAGCTTATATCATACGCCGTTTGAAATCCACCAGTATGGAAGTACATCCCTGGTAAATTAGAGTAGCCTACTGGCGAAGTACCGAAACGGCCTGTGAATCCAGGAAGCCATAACCACTCTTTTCGAAGGACAGATATATCCTTTTTCCCCTTATATTCGTCAGACACTAAACCCCACAGAGGCAAAACATCGTTCAAACTCTTTTCGGTATGCTCAACACCCCAGAGCGGTTTTTCCTCGTCACGAGTGTAGGTTTTGTCCCGGATATCGCGAATTGAAAGACTTTTCAGTCCATCAGTACCATTGAACCGGAAGTCAACAGTTTTAATTAGCGCACGGCTTGCTGAAGCACAGCTGTATAAAGGTACAGTCCAAGCTGTCCCTGGTTCGAAAACAAGTGAACGAGATCCATCACCGCGTCGGGCGGCTCCAAAGACCATCCCACATGCAACGCCAATATTGGTCATGTTTGCATAGTCAGAATTACCAGCACCTTGGCAAATAGTTGCTTTTGAATGGTCAGGTTTATTACCATGCATTAAGAAGAGTTACGATGACTTACATATGGTGGTGAAATTGTCTGTCGTCAGATCGAATGGATTTGCGTAATCATCACCCGAGCCCGTACGGTTGTAAGTTGAGTTAGAGAGGCGAGAACGAAGATTAAGGAATTTACCCCATGTTTGAGTCGTTAAAAGTTTGTCGTAATCTATCATCAGATTACCGTCCATAGGGAATGTTTTGCCCATTTCCGATTTGAGGTAGGAATAGGGTTCAAGATCTTCGGTCCTCGGATTGGTAACGTTGAGATAGACCATTGTCAACACATTGTTGAGAAACGCAGCTTTGTATGCTCTCCCGAAAAGATCGGGGTTTGCCTGGGTATCATTTCGGTCGTATTGAGGGTAAGTGGTGTTGAGATTGACGAATCCGCCACGATCAGTTAGGACTAGGTCCTCGAGTGGGCTGCCCAGACTAAGACTAATCTTGAAATCCATGGTTATGTTGGTATCGACGCACTCTGTATAAGGTTCAACAAAAAGCAAATCCTCGGACCATTCACTACCATGAGGAAGGGGAGAGGGTGTGGTGTGGTTACGGAATCCAATACCACCATTTTTTGCATCAACAACTAGACCTTCCACAATATTATACCCGTCACTCAACGCTAAAATTCCCGCTTGACGGTAGGCCCCCACCAAATATTTCGAACCGTTGTTGACCTTCTCGTCAAATTGGATTCCATACGACCTCCACTCAATATCAAAAATACTGGACACTGTAGGTGGCAATGATTTTAACCCGCTTTGAAATGTTTCCATCACGCGGGGAGGGATTCGGGCGTCGTATCCATTTGGGAGGCGTTGTGTCCCGTTTGCGTTGGGTTCAACCACAACATCTGAACCAGGACAAGCGATATATCCCCTGGCCCCACAGAACCGATTAAATCCAAGGCCGCTCCTAGGGGGTGTTCCAAAACCAAATGGAGAGGTGTCTTGGCTGTACTGAAACGGTTGAAGAGATGTGGACTCCGCAGGGACAATAGTATCATAAAGACCCAGAGGGGTGATAATCGCTGCAATGGCAACAATACCAAGTGTCAAAGGTCTTATTAGAGCTTCAAGCTGAACAATTCTGCTGATAGGACCACTGGTTGCAGACTCAGCACCGACAAAGATTGGCCAATATGTCGAATGTAAGGCACGACCAACTTGGGTCCTATTGGAACAGATGAGCAGTGGTAGTGAAATAAGTCAAGTGACAAAGGCCTTACCATGTTGCTGCTGTATTTTCATCTCTGAGGAGGGCAGTTAAGATGAGAGAAGTTGCTGTTGGAATAAAATGCTGGACTATATACAGTTCAGTTTGCAGAACTTCAAGAAGAATAGAAAAGCTCATGTCGAACTTGAAAAACTTGATCTTAGTGAAAACTACCTACGCAGAAAAATTCCAGCTGCTATGATACCAGACACATAGCCGATCGTCAGCGCAGCCATTTTGCTGAGCGTTGTGGAGATCAGAGAGATTTAGGGGATCAAATGGAGAGAGCGGCATCCAGACGGAGTTGACCACAATATGCAAATAAAAAAGAAGGACTGAGTGAGCGGATATTGAACCATTTATGAGCAGAAGAGGGCTGTACAACTTAAAATACCAATGCTCGCATCCCCACCGCCCACGCACCACGAAAAGTTAACTGATCCAAAGGGGGAAGAAACATTGAAGATACATACCGCATCCAAGCTGGCAAGATTTGCAGGTTGCCCAGGACTCTCTTGAGGTTCAAAACGCATCTTATGAGGGAGCCCCTGAAATCGGTCCTTGGCACAGTTTGACGAGCCAACGATGATAGCGCATTCCTGCTAGCTCAACAGTAGTCAGGCGCGAAGATCCATGGATGGGAAAACAGTTAGTTCTAGTTGCTTTTCTCATTTACCTAGTCCGTCAAGCGAAGTTCAGGATGCTGAAGACGCTTCTCGTATTGAAAAATGGAGTCATTTTTTGACGAATAATAATGGTGATGATGGGAAAATCTATTTCATACTATTGCTTCAGATTCAATGTGAGGTTTTTAGCAGTTTGTAGACAGCAATTATGTGGCAGAATTTTCCGCATGTTAAATTTCAAACAAGATTTGGAACTTAAAGGTAATTCGACCATCGTAGTATTGTCAGGGGAAATCTCCGTTTGACAATTGAATGCTGAGTAGCTCTGGGAGAGAGTTAACTAGTAGATACTCGTGTTGATAAACGCGCTAAAGGGAGAACCAAGATTTAAAGAAGCAAAATTGAAGGCTATTTCAGGCTGGTATGGCGGGAATGAAGCCAATGGCAATTGTTGGTTGGTCAGTCCATTTCGTCTGCAATTTTGACAGCCTGTGAGCACCACGGAAAGCTGTTCGCTTTATAACCTAGGAGGGATGCGTCTTCAGCCTGGAGGGCCCTCCATTTCTTCATTTCAATCATCAATGTCGGCCAGCGTATCCCAAAGACGGTGTCTTCACACATTGCAGGAATTAAGTAAGACTATTGACAATGACAACCTTGCGGGTACGTTTAAAATCCTCTTCAAAAGAGGACCTTTGCAGCAGCACGTACCATGTGCTTTATTTTTATTTTTTTGAGTTGGGATGATCAGCATTGTGGCACTGGGGGCAGGGCAATCAGGAGAACGAAGGCGGCTCTGCGAGAGACATTGAAACTTGTGGACCTCTTCTCCGAATGCGGAATAGTGTGAATTGCAGGCTACAACACCTTAAAAATTGGGCTCCGCCGACTCATCAATCTTCAGATCGCTTGTCTCGTCGTTCGTTGCAAAGTTGGAGTCGGGAATCCCCTTGCAAGATACCGCAAACATAACACAACCTCGAAACATCAACATCAACATCAACATCATCATCATTATTTATTATTATTATTATTTACATATTTTCAACCCTAAACGAAACTAATGCGCACAAGGGAAGAAGGGACACCGTGGTTTAATTGTTCCAAACCGGATGGGTTGAATTTTTGTTCCATCTGATACTCACCAGTATCTTCTCTTTAACTCATCACCACACACTTGTTTTACAGAAGCTGCTTCATTGGATTGGAGAGTAAAGGATGGACGCGTATCACTGGGGTTACAGTTGAACGTGGTTTAAAAGTGGGGCCGGCTTTGTTTTTAACAAAAGCCATGGGTCACACCATATTACTAATACATCTCTTTTTAGTTATCCTCACCGTCCTCAGCGCCAAGGGTTAGGGGCTAGTTAAAGGGTAAGGACCTGAAAAAAACGATAAATTCACTACCATCCAAGAGCATAATAAAGATGTGCATAATGACTAATTAGTGTATATGTAGTTTTAATGGGGAAGTGTTCACGGCCGAGATTTTAAGGATGTTCAAACTGAATGACCCCCGTATCAGGCAGAAGCCATCTGTGGAAATAGCCGCGCTTAAATCAACTCAGCCACAATACCTTGCTCGCCAATCTTGGCATACGTATCGTGATAATGCTTCCGAGTTCCACCCGCCATCACACCACATAATAAGTCAAATGGACGAGCTTGAAGATTGCGAGAAAACAAAACTTGCGCCTTTCAGCTTTACCCCAGACTTCTTCCACTCTGCATAGATCTACATTTTTGTACAGGTGATATTGTGTGATCCCCAGGAAGCTCAATTTAAGCCTTGAGAAATTTAATCAGGAGAGCAAGCCATCCATGAGTCAGACTTCTTTTTCTGATCTATATATGGAGTCAACATCTTTAAACTAACGTTTGGCTGATGTCCAACATTATAGTTATTTAAATAACTCTTCCTAATTATTAAACTTAGGTTCAACTTTCGCTTTTTGAAAATTTATGCTTTTCAACAGGATGAAGTCTACGATAAGAATTTGCTCTCACGATTTAGAAACCTCCGTTTCCCAGATATATTTTCAGTATCTTGTTCAGTTCTATTCTCTTATGAGAGACAGTAAATATATTTTTATGTCAAAATAATACTCAATTTTAGAGTTTTGCTGGGGGAAAATAGTTTAAGAAGTCTCACAGAACAATTCTTTAAGGGTGATTTTCAGTCATAGAGTGGATGAAGAAATGATAGCATTTTCAGCCCTAAAGAAGGGTGAAACCTTTCGTCTTCAGCGATGAGCGGGCGGTTCCGCTCGACCCTACTTTAAATCGGCTCACAAACGTGTTTCCAGAATCACATATACAGAAATGCCCCAGACTCCGCTTTTCACAACCTTTCAATCTCCCACATCCGAATTCTTTAGCAATCATAAAAACAGGTTAGCCGATAGTCATTCTGCACCGTTTAAAAAGTGCGATTGGACAGAGAAGCGGGACAAAAAGGGAAAGGATCAAATGAAAGAAAAAAAGAAAAGAAAAACCAGAACGTCCCACCAGTAGGTAAAAGCGACAGATTATCACAATAACTAGAAACTGCCTGCTTTTTACTGCCCTTCACACAACACATAACAGGCTGCAACGGAGAAGGAAGAAAAGAAACTGGATGGAAAGTATATAAGGAAGAAGGAAAACGCGTTAAAACTCCCTATGACTGCCAGACAACTTGAGTTGAAACCCCAGCCCCTTCTCAAGCAGCATGCATAAGCTCTGTATCGAGTATCCACTGAATGGCACCAACGTTCCTTGCAAGGTGAAATTTCTCTGCAGGAAAACACGATCACGAGAGCAGCACCAGGATCAGACTGGCCAGTGCTAGCTAGACGAGACAACCATTGGCTGATCTCCGGTCCAGCAACCCCGGCACATTGGATTCTGGGTTGATATGGTACAACGAGGGATTATCTTCCCCTGTATATCTCTTCATTGGCCAATTGTTGCTGGGATTGTGGATTGATCGGATTCATGCTTCCAACGTCTGGCTTGCTCTGGGCCCTTTAATAATTGCTGATTTGATAACTGGATTTGGCAAATCATACGACGGGAGAGAACTTCTATCAAAAGAAAGAACTTATAAAACTATTTCAAAAAGTCGAAAAATTCAATTCATGGCACGGCTCCCGTCTCCTCCACTTCAAGGGAAATGGCAATAAATATGCCGATGAATGTTATGTTCCTTGGTGAAGACCAGGGCTGTTTGATGGTCCGTCCATGGGTCATTTTAACCCAACCCCCCCTTCTCCCCGCCCCCCGGCCGCGGCCGCGCCCGGGTCCCACTGCAGATTAAACTAGCGGGGCGTAGGAGGGTTGACTAAGGTGGGTTTGCAGCTTTGATCACAAAGTTTCCTTTTTTTCCGTTCTTCCATTCCATTTTTTTTTTTTTCTGTGCCTTTTGACTTTTCCCGAAACTTTTTGTTGTTTGATTAGACTTTCCCTCTCTTGGCAAGGTTCTTGTAGGGCAATCAGAGAGAAGATTTTTTTACTTTATTAGGTTTCGGCCCCCGTTTGATATAAAGAAAGGATTAATGTGATGGCGAAGTTACCGGTTAGTCCGGTTAGTCTGTGCTTTGCAGCCTATCAACGACATCCTCATCACACAGAGATAACATTGGGGTAGCTACGCCTAATCTCTCGATGAATAGTAATAAATAATGCGAAGTATTGCTGTGAATGCACGGATGGGCTATTAGAAGATTTATCTGTTCCAGGGAACACGGCCATATAACATTTGCCTTTGGGATTAATCCAGTTTGGTGGATGTACACCCCAATATTTACAGTATCGCCGGATCTTTGTCTTGGCCAGAACGGTTAAGAGCTGGGATTGTCTCGAAATTAAATATAAAAAGACCGCACCAATTACCGACGTTGAACAGGGTCAGGGGCCTGGAAACACGTCTATTCCGCTCAAAGGGGTTGTTGTTTGTAATCCAGAGCTGTCTACTCCGTACATCCCGAGAACTCTCGGCTTTCGAATCGAAAAATAGGTCTGTGGAGCTTGCATCACTGAATGAGGCCTCTTTCCACTCCCTAATTCGAGAGGTGAATACTCCGTGAATCGAGATTAGTTGATAGATGTATTGATGTCAAATATGATTATTTTGAAGTTGAACAGGCATGCATATCACAAATCATAGAGTGAAGTCTGTGAAAGGTCCCCCCCTCTCTTCTCTCCAGGCTAAGTCCAAAAAATCCACTCAGAAGAGTACCTACCTTTGCACCTAGTAGATAGCTATGTGGATAGCATCTCTTTCTGTGCCCGCCAACCGTGGACTGGGGACCCCCCTAGAAAAAAATATGGACCTGGAGGATTGGACTTGATAAGGGAAGAAAAGAGACGAAAGCGGGGCCCAATAAAACAGGGGAGGATGCCCTGACGTTAACAAATGGAAAGAAGATTCCACTTCCAAGAGGATAAAAGCGGTCAATAGTATCTTTATATTTTTCTCTCTTTTTTTCACTGGTCAATCAGATGAAACAGTGAAGTTTTGATCGCCGCCGTTGGGCGATACATCATACGTAGAAGTTACATCATACTTCGATTGATCGATCCATAGAACGGTAGTGGAGCCTCCCGTCACATTCCAAAGTATTCTAATATGGTTCTTATCTTATGTTATTTTAACACCAGCGCCCGCACAAGTATTTGGAGAAGTAAAATTATACATGATATAAGAGTACGTGAAGCAGGGCGTGACATGTGAGGTACCTTAGCAAACTCAGATTTTTGTTTGAATGCTTCCAACGGTTCCAGGTTAACTAACTTACTTATAGAGTTCGTTATCTAATAATCCCACTTCCTAACTTGATAGACTTAGGGTTAAACCAGAGTCGAACCTGTGAAAATTCTGCAGAGCAAAATTTGGGACAAAGTTGGCTGCTCCTGGGCACAGGTGCGGGTAGCCAACTTAACCGCTCCCCCAGAAAAGAGAGTAACTATGTAGGCGCATTTTTCCACATCTATCTTGTGTTTAGTAAGGATTAGAATATAGACAGTGTGTCCGTCGCCAAATTTTTCCCATGTTGTCATGCTGTAATATAAAAAACTATGGACGGCATCCATAAGTCACCGTAACCAACGGCGTCCCCAAGGCTTAAGTTAAGCTGTCTCCCCAGGGCGCGGACTCCAGGTGTTAAACCCCCTAAAGCGGCCTTCCCCACTGAGTTTAACGCGCTCTCGCCACTAACAGCCACTAATATCCCCGTTCCTGCCTCCATTTCCCATCATTCCACCACAACATCTTTTTCATCCCTCACCTCGACTTCATCTTTCATCTCACTTCATCACACTTCATCTCTCAGCGCCTCGCCTCATCTCTCAGTTGCTTCGCGTCTCCATCTCCATCTTATCATCTCCATCACCCTCGCTTCCACCATTCGCTTGTCCCATCAATTTTTGTGTCTTCATATTCCCGCGCAAGGTGGAGGGCCGATCGCGGTGATTTGGCCAGCCAACCACATCTGCTCCCCGTGCTGCCAACCCTGCAGTCTTAGCGGGCGCAGAAGACTGGTATCTGCACCCAGACACACACTTCCAATCACACTAGCTCTTCTTAGCAGTTCCCAGCAGAGCACCACTGCACTAGCAAGCAGTCGTTAGCCCTGTCCTGTGCTGTCCTCTCCTGTCTTCCTGCTCTGCCCTGTGGCTTGCTCGACTCTGCTCTGCTCTGTTGCTCCGTCCGTACCTGTCTCCGATATTTTCGATCTCGACTCCCCCCTAAAGCCTCGAAGCTTGTCCAACTCCAGCAAATAAATCGCCCAAATAGACGAACGCCCGTCGTGTAAAGAAAAAAAAATAAAAATAAAAATAAAAACTTCCGACCAACCTTCACACACTATTTTGCCATCCCATTTATTAACTCTACCAATAACACCCGCACCGATTTCCTTGTCCTCCACAATCCACCCGCTGGCGCATCTTATTTCGACGACTCGAGATCCAGCTCAACCTTACTTATTGTGTTGTGGTTTTGGGTCAACCTGGTTAGTAATGATACCTTTTAATTCCTGTTCCCATCCTTGACCTGCTTTTCTTGCATTGTTTATTGTTTTATTGCGACTATCTATCTACCAGTCCTCAACCTTTTGTCACCCTTTCATCGTCTCACTCGTCCTCCTTAACCGCTCCATTTCTCAATCATCCTTTTTGCATTCCATTCCACCTCCAATCACCTTATCATTTCACTCTCATGAGAAACAGAAAAAAAAAAGGGGAGCCAAAAAAGACGAAAAAACCCCACCTATACACTGGCTTTTCCACTCAAGTCCTATCACTCTATCTTGTCTCCTCCACTTTGTGTGGATTTCAAGGCCCTGGAGCACGGCATCTACATATTCTTCCTTTCCGTCTGTCCTTGTTGCCGCAGTTTTCCTTCGTTCCCTCAACCTTTTCGCTTCTGTGTGCTAGCTCACTCCCTGTCACCCTAAACGCCTTTCCTCGTATTCTCAACCCACCCTCTCCTTAACCGGGTTACTTTATTCAGTCCATGGGTCCTTATCAATAACTGCCTGTTATCTGCCGTGTTTTGGTATTAACAGTTTGCGAAATTAGTTATTTTCCCCAGCTCAGTGCGTTTGGCGAGAAATGCCTATATAAATTCCTGGGTTATTTGTCACACCACTTACTCGCACACTGACCAGCTTCTCTCATCGCTTTGTTCGTCTTCACTGCCTTCAACTGTCCTTGACCTCGAAAGCATCAAATTTTCTAAACTGAATACCATCTTCTCGCGATCGTTACAATCGCTACCACTTGGCGACTGAATTTGGATCTACCAGCTTTACGCGACCCGCGACATTTTCGCGAGGATCGTGCGAAAGGAAAAAGGAGAAAAGGGAATAAAAGAGGCTGATCAACTTCCCTTCCAGGCTAATACACACCCGGTTTGCCATTCCTCCACTGGTCATGAGCAACGGTCCGTCGAACCAACCCGGCGCAATGTTTACATTAAAGCGCAACGGGTCGAGTTCTGCTGCATCTTCCCACCTTCCTGGTTCTACATCCAACGGCACATCTACTATGCACAACGCGAACATATCGGAGCCATTCTCTCCTGTATCATGTCAAGCTCCATCGTCCTCTTCCACTGCCTTCAAATCGATACTCCCACCTATTGGTCAGCCTCCGATGCACCCAACAGATGTGGATTTAAGTAGTAATGGTTTGTCAAGCGTAAACGGTACCAACGGATCATACACCCCCCAAGGAATTAACGGAGGCATTGTTGCTGTTCTGTTGCGACGACTGGCGCCAACGTACAGCAACGAGTTGCTGCACGGTTTACTCACATTCTCCCAACACTTAATGGATTACTCCTTTGTCCCCAACGAATACCCTGAAGACGGCCAATGTCGTTCCGCTATTGCGCGTTTTGAAACAAGGGCTGCGGCTGAGGAAGTTTGCAATGCACTCCATGGAAAACTCAACAGCACAGGCGAGACCAATCTGATCGTTGAAATTCTCAACACGCCGTCAACCTCCGCATTGCTCGGACGCCGGAATACTATTGATCATGCCTCAAACCGTGTCGCACCAAATTCAGCATCCCAACCCGTTGCTCCTTCAGCGTTGATACGCCAAACATCGCTTTTTAATGGCGCATTTCAGGCTTTCGAAAGAGCGGGAAATAGTGAACTCCCTGCACCAGAAGAAAATTCTCAACTCACATCCATCTTCTCCCCCCAGTCACCCATCGAAAATTCAATCAGTGACCGCTCATATGGCTCGGGTAAGATGATGATTAAACAAGATCCGGACGAAGATACCGGTGAATTGCTGAATGATCCTGTTGGATATGCCCGGAATGGCCCCTCCAGTGCCGCAGCCATGCCACGCCGTTCAACAAACCCCCCTGTGGCTTTATCTCGCTTTAGTAGTCTCTCATTATCCACCAACGTTGGGAGCCCCATGCCACAACTAGGTGGCACGCGATCGTCTACGAATCTCGGGACTCCTACTAGTACTATGCCGCCAGGCCTTTCATCCACCATTGTTCCCAATTCTGGATACATGCATTCTCCACAGTTCCATCGGGTAAACTATCCTCCAGTCAACCCCGCTGACCAAAACCCACCCTGCAACACGTTGTATGTGGGTAATCTCCCACACGATACCTCTGAAGATGAGTTGAAGTCCCTCTTCACCAAGCAACGCGGTTATAAGCGCCTCTGTTTCCGCAATAAACAGAACGGTCCTATGTGTTTTGTGGAGTTTGAGGATATTTCCTTTGCAACAAAGGCTCTTCACGAGTTATACGGATATCAACTCTCCAACAGTGTTAAGGGTGGCATTCGTCTCAGCTTCTCCAAAAACCCCCTTGGCGTCCGACCCGGCCCACCACCAGGGATGAACGCAGCGTCCTCCATTGCTAATGCCGGGAAGGCTGCAAATGGCAATGGGATGCCCCTTTTTGCAACCGCTAACACTTTCCCACCAGGACTGGGTATCCCTCCGGGCTTTGGGGGCGTGAACAGCGCACACTCCCCTCTAAGCCTAGGATTGAACTGCAACAATGGCAGCAACGGCAACGGCAATGGCAACAAGAGCACCTTCCACAGCCACTCTACACCTGGACTCGGAATCATCCCCGGCGCTATTGGCACGTCTCGTTCACATACTCTCAATGGTGGTGGTGGGCCAAGTATGGCAAATATGAATGTCACTGCATATGGTGATTATTTGGGTCGATAGAGAGATAAACAGAAATTGCATCTTATATAAATAATGTTTGCATGTGTGACGAGTTCTGGAGCATCTGGCGTTTTACGGATACAATGATGCACTCTGGACTGGACTCTACATTTGTTAGAAATCATCATGCGGGGGCTGCTGCGGTGTCCTTAAAACGTCGATTTTTTATTTTTTTTTTTCTTTTAATGTTTTGTGGCTTTCTTCTTTCCGTTGCCCCCCGTCTTCGTTTTTGGCACAACAACACCTCCCCCTTCATCATTTGCAGGCTTGTTCCTTTTGGGCTATTATTGGTCACACACGCGCACAGCATGGAATTTAAAGGGAGAAGCGGCTATTTCTTTCTTTGTTGATGTTCGGGATTAGCGAGCAAGTGCATACATATATCTCTAGCGTTATGGGGTTTTGTCTTGTCTTATGCGCATTCTCGGCTCTAGTTGGAATTCGGCATGGGCTTCGTTTACTCCCACCCAGGAAAGACAAGAATGGTGAGGAAATGGGAGTTCCAGCTGAACCTTCGTTTTGCACGTTGCTGATTGATTCCAGTTTATTTCCGTATACTTTTATCTCATATTTTCTTCTTCCCTCATTGTTCGCGTCTGTGTCGCGTTTCCAACGTTCTTTAGTGTTGTCGATTTCCCTCTCCACCCTCTCCACACATTCCACCCATTACACACGCATTACACCTCCTTCACCCCTTGTTACCCCATCCCCTTTTCAAATCTTTTTTCTTTTTGGTGTTTATCCGGTATTTTGTATGTCATATTGTGCTTCCTTCTATTTTCTCCTTCCGCGTAACCTCGGCTTGCGTAGCCATCATCAAAGGGGCGATGTGTTTTCCGCTGGAGATGCCCCCTCCCTCACAACCCCCTATTTTTTTTAATTTTCGCCTGTACGTCTGATTGCTTGCATACATATTATTTTGCTGTGTTCCCTCCCATCCGTTCCCAAAAACACCCCTTTCAATCGATTCCCCTTTTGCAAAGCGACCATGATAATGGCGTCCATATGAAACGATTATGTTTTGTTTTTCTGTCGGTTTCTTCTGCTTGCTTGGGAAAAATATATATGGCCTCTGCAGGATACCTCTCTGTTAGTGAAGGATGGGTTTGCTGGGGTTCTCTTCACTTTTCGTGCTGGATTCATGGGTTTTTGTTTTTTTTTTTTTTTTTTCAACTTGTCCCTTTCCCCCCTTTTCGTTTTCCCTGCGCCCCCAACACGTGTTCTATAAGGCACCCATTTTTCTTGCAATGGTACGGTGTTTCATCTCATTTGGTGCTATTTCCTTTCTGCTATATCTGTCTTTATCAGTTGATTTGTATTCCCCCTCCGGCGTCGTTTTTATTTCGCTACTTGTCTCCATCTTGTATGGCCATCTATCCAGCCTCATTCATAGTGCTTAATAAGCCTTTGTTTGTCCCCTTTAACATCATAACGTCGCCTAACAAACTCTTACACATTTCTCTATCCCCACCACTCCCAAATTTTTTATACCTGCACTAATGGCGCACCCCCAAAAAAATGTTTAGCTTCATTCCTTTCTGCTGTTTTTAAACCTTTGTTGCTCCAGCTTCTATTCACGGAGTGATGCACTCGCTAATAACACAGTCGCTCATTTTGTCCCTTCTCACGCAAGCAAAAAGCCTTCTGGTTTGTTGAAAGCACTTCTTCCAAATTATTCCCATACCTTCTGCTGTATGTTGAAAAATTATGGATTCAGAATATTCTTTATACCATCCGCATAGCTGGGATTTGATTTTTATTTCAGAGATATACACAGATAGGGAACATAGGCATTTTACAGCTGTTTATTTCCACCTTTTTGCTCTACGCAGTACCTTTTTTATATTTTCCATCAGGTTGAACAAAATACCTACGAGTAGTTTTTGTGACCTGAAGGGAACCCAGAAGTCTTGGCACCTAAGAGAAAACGCTAGTCCATTTTTGCTTAGTACTCACATGACTTTCCAACCTCCCGACGAAAAATTGCTCGGCTTTTTTTTTATTCATCCACTTCAACGCATCTCAACAACATTCAATTCCAACTTCTACCAACCAATTCTTGTGGCCATTGAGTCTTCAGCATTGAAAGAGTGTAATAATCATGCTGAATACCATCAACTGATTATTTTAGTTACTATATCTCTGTTTCATAGTTTTTCTGCTTGCTTCCTTTGATAATTCTAGCATCTTGCAGCCCTCCATACCACTGCTGTAACAAACTTCTCTCGCATGAACTTATTCACAATGCCTCCTCCGCTGGGAAGCCTACGGCGTCTTTCCTGCACTCTCTCATCCACATCCACATCTGCCCATTCACACTCTCAATCTTCATACCCACTATCAATCTCCTTCAGACCACTTCCATACACTCCAACCCCATCCCAATGCCGACAACAATCCACTGATGCCACCTCCAGAAAATCCCAGACTAATGATAAAGAAGAAGAAAAGCGTCGAAAAGTGCATATGTGGCTAAGGGGGCCTGGTGCCGTTTTTAAAAATCTGAGACCAGGCAGCACAAACTATGTCAGCGCTTATGACAGTCAGGGCATGCTCATACGTGCCAAGGCAGGAAAGGAAACTGATGCGGAGACCCTGGAAGATCTTAGACCGTTCCCGCTAAATCCGACGTTCGTGAGTGAGTCGGTCCTCAGTGAGGAGTTACGGAATGATATTCATAGGCAAGTTGTTGAGTATGGGAAGTCACTGAGGGAGGTTAGTTTTATGCATGGTGTGGATTTGAGGAGGGTGGCGGCTGTGATCAGGTTGGTAGAGTTGGAGAAGAAGTGGGTTAAAGAGGTATGTGTGTTTTTTTCCCCTTGATATAGACCCCTCTTCGTGGCTTTCAGCCCCTGTCATGATGAACAAATAATTTCGATTAGTCTTGAAGACTCCTAAATTCCCATACTGGAGGATGCTTACTTCAAATTTAAATTACAACTCTCTGAGACAAACTTTGGTTGGATATATCTTTATGTATTGTTACGATGTGCTGGTTACTGCAGTCAGTCCAATTGATATAGCTACAACGCTGCTAACAACCAGCGCAACAGAACAAACCTCGAGCAATCCCTTACGCTCGGGCTGTACACCAGATGCTCCCAACCACGCCATTAAAAAAATACCCAGAACGACCCATCCCCCACGAATCTATAAACGACCTCCCAGTCCACCGCCTCACCGAGCCCCAAATATTCTACCCTGTCTCTGAATCACGACAATTCAACCGTGTCGATGCCGGACGCGTCTTCTCCGCCGCCCCCGCCCTCCCTTACCACACCTCCAACATACCACACAACACCCCCAAAGCCATTGAACAGGTGACTCACAACCCACACAAGATCGAAAAGGTCGGCAAACCCGACGCGGAAGAAGAAGTCCTGCAACCTGCAGACTACCGCATTCCCCATCCGCATCTTGTCGCCTTCGCACACGACCGGTTCCATCGACCCGGTGAGTTCCGTGAGCATAAAAAACGGTTTATGGAACGGATGGAGCTGGAGACGGCTTTGCTTAAGAAGCGGCAGGAGAGGGCAAAGGCGAGGGAAGAGGCGAAGACAATCCGGGTCCAGCCTGAGGGTAGTCGGTTTGAGTTCCGCTTCAGAGATGCTGTTGTATCCCGTGACACAACTGGGAAGGATGGTCGTGGTACCAGCGCTCCTGGCCGGCGGTATGGTGTGCCTAGTTACGAGAGGAAGAGAGGCGTTATAAAGATACCCACTAAAGTAGAGGTTTAGAGGTGGCTCTTTTTTTGAAAGTAAACCCTAGGGGAGCCAGACATGTTTTTCTATGTATACCTTTGTATGTGTATTATGCAACCATGTATAGTTGCACTGTACAATAGCATTTTATCTACTTCCTATGTCTACAAAACATCATTATTTTTGTGAGTTTACTCGCAGAGGATTGATCTACTTTTGAGAGAAACAATTGAAATACTCTGTACTTAACTGCTATTTCTATTTGTTTATACATAGATATCTGCATCTGATCAGGGAATAAATTTCAAATATATTCTACTAGCTTCACTAGAGAAGAGCTTTATTGCAGACTTGTTGATATGAATAGTGAGAGTAAGAGAGTAGATGAAAAAGTCTGACCGGCAGTGTTTATATTATTAAGCTGAAAAAGTAGAAATTTAACATTTATAAAAAGCTCTTAGAGATGAACTAACTTCTAAATAATCTTTGAGAATAAGATATATTTAGTTTTTGTTAAAGAATTTGAAGATGTATATCTATTTATAATCTTTCAGACAACAGAATCACTAATTATATAAATAATATAATTAATATAATCAATAAGTGAGTAAATCATATAAGCAAGTGAACTACTTCTCACCTTGTCATATAATGAAAATGTCTTCAAAGCCTCAACTATAAAGAAAAACTAATAAATTATATTATAAATTATTGTCTATACACTTAGAGTATGTATGAGCAGTATGCTCAATAATTTCACATATACTACACTGTGATGCTGCATGTTTTTGTGATTGCAACTCAGCAGTCTTAATCACTTTCTACTCTCATTCATTGACTCTTTGTACATAATTCAAGCCTTCTTCAATTCTCAAAGCACTTTCTTGAGCTATATATGTACAGTCTCTTTTTCACTTTCTCTTTTGTTTAGCATTTTGAGCTCTTAACTCTCTGTTTTCAGCTGCTAGAATAGCAGCACTGTGTATTGTTATTTGACATTCCTTGATCAGCTAGCTGACTTAGAGTATGATTGATTGGACTAAATGAGCTTCGTGTATAATGCTTGATATATTCTTTAACTTTCTCAGCCTGCTGCTTCAATTGATGTACATTATGTGATGTGACAGTGATCTAGAAGGCCTGAGAGCTATGAGAGATTTCAGAGAGGGTGAGAGTATATATTATTGTATTAATATATAATAGAATCTGCTCAGAATCATACAGAATCAATTCAGCTGCTTTGAAGTCACTTTTGATATTATTCTTAGTCAGAGCCTGCATCTAAGCTGTAGAATATAGGGTTAGAAACTCTTTCTTATCAATATGATTAATTTCAAGTCACATCTGATTCTCCATCTGTCATTTATATGCAGTTTTTAGAGGTGAGAAGCAGCTAACATTCAATAACTGAAGAAGATAAGAGGAATATGACAGCATATAGAGGATAATGATCTGAGCCTCAGTGCAAAATTGATCAAATTCAGCTGAGACATAACTTCAATGTTAATCTAGAATCAATAGTTGATATCTGTTCTTTGTATAGAATAGAGTCTTCTTGTTAAACATTTCTTTTAGTTAGTATAAGCTCAGGTAATCAGTGATTTAATCATTTTTACTAACTTTAATCACTCAGTTGCTTAATAGTTCTTCTGTTTCATATCAATAGAATTGATATATTTTTCTCTTGAGAATAATTATTGTATACAGAGCTCAATTAATTATATTAATTTTAATAATAACTATTACTCATTTCTGATCTTTAGACTATATAAATTTGGAATTTCTAGTTATTTCAAATTCAGTTATCACTCTGACAGTTTCAATAATTCTTATTTGAAACTCTATCTTATCAAAGTTGTAGATATAATTTTTCAGAATCTTATACTTTGCAATAATATTTTATACAAGTCTAAATCACTTATGAATAACTTTAAAATTCTCATATAAGGTTCACTAATAATTGTACTTGCATGAGAACTTGAATTTCAGTTTATTATAACAGTTGACAAAGTTTCATACTCAGCATTCACTCACTGTGAGTAAGAAATTGAATTCTTAATTGATAAGAAGAAGATTGATCATTTCTTATACAGCTGTAACTTGAGAAGATTGATCTCACTCATTCATAATCAGAATTTATTAAATAAGAGATTCTTTCTTTGTAAGACTAAGTTTTTAATTCTTTGAGAGCATGTCAATGTATATCATATAATTATATATATATATAATGAGTTAAAGTTATATGAGAGATTTTATATAGCTTTGCTACAGCTTATACACTTAAAATTTGATCATTTTTAAGTATTTAAATAACTAAAAGAAGTTTTTCTTTCTGAGTAGAGATTTTATTTCTTTGTGTGATAAATATTTTTGATGCAGAGTATTTTTTTTTTATACAAAAAGTGAAAAGTGATTCACTTACTTATATGATTCACTCAATTATTAATTATGTTAATGATAAAGTAAAATTTTAAATTTTTATTTTATTCAATTAATATTAATATAAATTACAGACTTTATATTAAAATTTTATAATAAATAATAATAATATTTTATTATAAAAATAATATAAAGTATATTTAAATATTATTTATTATTTTAAAACTAAATAATATTTTAAATATTTAAAAAAATTAACTAATAAAGTTAATATTAAAATATATATATTAATATTTAATTAATAAATATATAAAATAAATTCTTTAATATATATTATTAATATTTTTATATTAAAATAAAAATTAATTGATAATTTTTATAAATACTTTTTTAAATAATTTTAAATAAATAAATAATAAAATATAATAAAAAAATTTAAGATTTTATTTAATTAATATATTAAAATAATAATTAAATTTTTTTATATTTTTAATTTTATAATAATAATAATTTTAAATATATTAAATTTAAATTATTAATATTTAATCTATAAAAATAAATATAATTTAATATTATAAAATATATATTTTAAAAAAGTTCATATTTTTATTAATTATTATTATAAATTATTTAATAGATTTTATATTAAAAATATATTTAATAAATTATTAAAATTTAATTTATTTTAAATAAAATTTATTTTTATAAAAAATTTTAAAAACTTAATAAATTAATAAGACTTAATTTAAATAATAAAATTTTATTAATATAATTAATTACTTATTAAATTATATTATTTAATAAATTATTTTTATTATTTTATTTAAAAAATTTTAAATTAAATAATAACTATAAAAAATTTTATATAAAAATTATATAGAATAAATACTTAAATTTATTATTATTATTTTATATTATATTTAAATATATTATATTTATTGTAAATCAAATATTTTTATTTTTTAATTTTTAAATTTAAAATTTTAATATTATAATTTTAATTTATATATAGATAAAATAGATATTCAATTATTAATTAAATTATTTTAATAAAATATTAAAATAATTTTTAAAAGATGAATTTAAAAAAAACTTTATTTATATAATTTTTTTTAGTACTGTTATTTTCTTTCTTAGTATAATTATTAAACAATTTTCATATTTACAAAGTAATTATTTATGAAGTAATTATGAGATTAATTATTATACTATTACTATATGATATTAAAACTCTCTATATTAGTTTCTTGCTCTCATACTGCTTATCACACTATTTATTAAAGTGCTTAACGTAATTAATAAATGAGTCAGTCATATAAACAAGTCAGTCACTTTTTATCTCATCTCAGAACAATATCTTCATCATTAAAAATATCAATCATATAAAGAAATAAAGTCTTTACTGAGGAAAAAAAGCTTCTTTTAGTCATTTAAATACTTAAAAATAGTCAAATTTCAAGTATATAAGCTGCAGCAAAGCTGTATAATATTTTACATTTCACTCTAGATGTTTGAGTACATGATCATACAACATATATTAATACTTCTTCAAAGAACTAAAAACTTAGTCTTACAGAGAAAGAATCTCTTATTTAATGAATTCTGATCATAAATGAATGAGATTAGTCTTCTCAGATTGCAGCTATATGAGAAATGATTAATCTTCTTCTTATCAATCAAGAATTTAATTTCTCACTCACAGTGAGTGAATGCTGACTATGAAACTTTATCAAGTATTATAATAAGCTAAAAATCAAGTTCTTATATAAGTATAATTATCAGTAAGCTTTATATGAGAATTTTGAGATTATTTATAAGTGATTTAGACTTATACAAAATACTATTATGAAGTATGAGATTCTAAATGATGATATCTACAACTTTAATAAGATTAAGTTTCAGATAAATATAATTGAGACTGTTAGAGTGATGACTGAATTTGAAAAAGTTGAGAATTCTAAGCTTGTACAGTCTGAAGATTAAAAATAAATAACTATTATTGCTAAAGTCAATGCAACTGACTGAGTCTTACATACAATGATTATTCTCAAAGAAAAAATATATTAATTCTACTGATATGAGACAGAAGAACTATCATATGACTGAGTAATTGAAGTTAGTGAGAATGACTAAATCACTGATCAACTAAGCTTATACTGACTGAAAGAAATGTTTAACAAAAAGACTCTACTCTGTACAAAGAACAAATATCAACTGTTGATTTTAAACTAACATTGAAGTTATGCCTCAGCTGAATTTGATCAATTTTGTACTGAGAATCAGATTATTATCCACTATATACTATCATATTCTTCTCATCTTCTTCAGTTATTAAATGTTAGCTGCTTCTTATCTCTGAAAACTATATACAAATAATAGATGAAAAATTAAATGCAGTTTGAAATTAATCATATTGATAAGAAGAAGTTTTTGAGTCTCTATTCTATAGCTCAGATGCAGGTCTTGACTAATAGTAACATCAAAAGCAGCTTTAGAGCTGCTGAGCTGATTCTATATAATTCTGAGCAAATTCTCTCACAGCTTAATATTATAATGTATACTCTCACTCTCTCAAAAATCTCTCACAGCTCTCAGATCTCCTAGGTCACAGTCACATCATATAATATGCATCAATTGAAGTAGCAGGCTGAGAAAGT